ACCAGATTTGGGAGTAAACGTTGACTAACATAGATAATGAGTTATATTGTTATTCTAATGAGTTTCCAAACCATCTCTTCTATTAACTATGTTCCAAGTTAAGCCATTTTCATAGGTGCATGGAAGAGTTTTTAAGCTCTCTACTACTTTATAGCGCAGCGAGAAATCTACGTTTAATGATATAGACACTACTGAATTTAGGTGGCACGACTCGCAAGCTAGTAAACTAAGATTTTCCAAGTTTTTATAAAATAAAGTTTTACTGTAAAAGAGAAGGAAAATACACAAGAGGCACAATGATTATAGTTGCCGTTATAGTTCTTAAATTAACTCGTTTATACTACTGATTTTTTATCATGAAATAAAATTGCGTTAGGAATGTTGTTCATTTTTCTTTCGTTGCTCAATAATTAACAAATCACTTACTGTCTGTTTTATTCCCCTAGCTCAAACATTTATACTCGTGGGAAAACAAAATTCACTATTTCCCTCGAAAGCAAAACTTAAGTGTATACTATTTCTATCAATTTTTCATGTGATAATATATTGTTTATACACCGTTGCGAAGCCGTAGGTATGAGAATTGGTTATGCTATGCTAATTAGACTTGCCGAAATCGCTCGCTAGGGACCGCGCGTAGCAAGAAGGGAGCGCTTGAGAAAGACGGAAGCGAGCAACTTTTGTCACTTGCCTGATTTTGAATCTTACTGAAAAATTTGGCGCGAAAATCAATTATGACATAGTGGGCGTTCACTATGTCGATTTCACTAGTTCATTATTGTTTTGTTCATAATAACAATGAGCATTCACTGACGTCACAGGAGCAAAAATGCACCGGTGAATTTGGCGCGCTTGCGGGTGACAAAAGTCCGTCGCTTCCACGAACCGCGGACTTTGGAAAGTCTATATATGCTAATAAATCTCAATACATTTCTAAAGTTGGAATAATACAAATCATTAAAAATCTTCATAGCATGATCAAATTCAAGATACAAACATCCAAAGGTTGCCAGCTTCCAGCGACATACGATGCTTGGGACTGAGCGAGAAAGAGTTTTAAAATTTTATTTTTAAAATTGTCAAAAAGGCCAATGTTTTTTTCTGCTATTGCAAGTCAATAAATTACATTCTCCTCGGCAAAACTAGTTCTAAATGCCCTGCCACACCATTGCGTATGAGAGAAACGTATGAGAAGCGTATGAAAATTAATGAAATAATTTTCATACGCACAAAAATCCTTTGAAATGCCAGCGTACGAGTACCGTACATCTGGCGTACCTCTAGCGTATTCAGCGTGTGGCTAGGGTATGCTTATCGTATAAAACATACGTCCGATACGCACAAAATATTTGAACATGCTTAAAAAAATTTCTGCCTCGTCGTATGCCAGCGTATGCCACCGTACGCGACCGTGCTTGAACCGTATACAACCTATGCCTAACGTATACCCCTAGCGTATTTCAGCGTATACCGGCGTATGAGTGATATTTTTCATACGCTGGCATACGGTAGTACGATACGCAATAGTGTGACAGGGTCTTTCTTTCACATTTAGAACTGGGATAATGGGATTTGTCTTAAAAATGCTGGGAAGTGGGATTTCGAGAAAATTTGGGTCTAACCCCTCCCCACTTTAAGATCGTATCATAAGGATCGTGTATAGAACTACAAAGTTTTCAAAGTGTGTATCGGTTATGTAATTTAGAAAGGCAATCCAATTTGGCGGGTAGAAATTAAAAAGTAAAGATTCGCACACGTACAATTGAAAGTTCTCGTTTGCCCTCGCCTTTGTAGAAAAATGATTATGTGGTTACTTCAAATGTTATTTGTCGCATATTCTGTCAATCGCAAATTTTTAAAAATCGATCAACTTTTTAAAATGATCATCAGAGTGCATGAAAGTAGGCATGCAGTCACACAAGCTTGTTTAACTGTTCTTCATTCTTTCCCAACACTATCATGTATTTTACTGAAGTTGAAACATAGTTGAAACACTCATCAATTGAAACATTTATTTTGTTATTCTAGAGCTTGGAAAGTCCTCGTAACAATACGTGCGTAATTCCCAACTGTCAAGCTCGTTTGATCGACTGGTCATGTTCAGAACCTAAAGCCCGATGTTTCCGTAAGGAGAAACTCCATATGGAAAATTTCATCCCACTTGAACTGAAATGCCACCTAGAGGAAATTGAGATCTCATTTTGCCGGCCGCCATCGTTTCTCATATGAAGACAAATATTGAATTTTATATGCATAATGATGCTGTATCAGAAACTCCTTGCAAATTAAATGGGCAAAAATTGCCTTCTCTAACATAGTTTTAAATTACGAATTAAATCATTTACTATCGTCGAATTTAATTCACACGAGTTGAATTGAGCGAATTAATTGCGACGGTAGGCGTCTTATAAACCGAATTGAATTCGTCCCAGACGATTTATCCGTGATACGGATATAACATCTGTTGCGCGTCTTCGTCTCATACGACGGGAATTCGTCTGAATTAAATTCGTCGTTTGAAACGATTTTAATTTAAACATTTTCCTCAAGCGCTGGTTGTTCGAAAGCTGATTATAGCTTAACCCTAGGTTAACCTAACATTCAAAGCAAACTTCCTAACAACTTGGTTATAAATTTGGAAATATTTCTTTAGAAATCTTGTCTGAATCAGCATGCACGAGTATTCTTGTCGGAAGTTTTGAAATGAACAGACGCGCAGAAATATACAAACTAAAGCAGCACGTTAAATCTTGACCTAGGGTTAGCGCTCATTTAGCTTTGAATAACCAGCACGAGTTTAATAAAGTCAGTGAAAATCATTAGCCGGCTGCGTCTTTTCCGATCTGAGTTTGCGTTATCGATATATTTTTCATATTTGACAAAAATGGACCTCAAAATTGAACTCTTCAGATGTTTCAACATTCAGCGCGCGATTAAGGGCGTTTAGGGAAATGTTGTTTTTCCTATGTTGACCGGAATATGTCGCTGTAAATTCAAAACGCCGGAACTCGCGCCCTGAGCTTCTACACATCGTGAAATTAGCGGTATAGCATAATTTGAGCATGTAGATAGTGAAAAATTGAAGAGATCAACTCGGATAGGAGAATTATCGGAAAAGTGGCCATGGATCACAAGTGAAACTCTAAAATGACCTATCCTGTATAACTATCACTATGGTGAGCGGGTGAATGCTTCCGAAAGTACGCATTTTGAGGTGTGGCATATAGTAAAAATGTTATTGCGAAACTCGTAAATTTTAACATTTTTATCGCAATTTACAAAAAAACTGCAGGGTTTATCGACAAGAACTTTTTAGAATTGGATTCCGCGTGTTTAAATCTTATTTTTAGCTTAGCGAGGTGTACAGTGAAACTAAACGTTTGAGGGCACTAGCTCACGGCCTATGACTGCAGGAGAACGTTTCGCAGTGAAAAGCAATGACTGTCATGACTGATATATGATAGGTAAGCAATTTGCTGTCAGTTGATGGTAACAGTACCTTAGATAGGAAGTGAATGACGTCAGTAGCGTAGCCAGGGTTTACAACAGTAATACAACTGACGTAACACAAACAAGACGCATGAAAGAGTTTGTGATGTATAATAAGATGTGTTATGACGCCTGCAGTTTGAAAAGTGTGCAAAAAAACGCGTGTGTAAATATAAACAGAATTTTTGTTGCTTAAAAATACTGCAGTATAGCTTAAAAATACTGCATGTTGTCGTATGTATAGTAGTGACGAATTTTACGAATGCATAGAAACTTGTAAAAGAAGTGCATGTCATTCGCCAATCAGCGGCAAGTGCGTATATGGAGTTGTCGAAGCTTTTGACGTAGTAGCAGAATCCGCTTGGGTTGTTCTTCTGGTATTGTGTGGTGTGCTTGGCTCGTCGGGGTTTTGCTCCTTTGCGTTCAATTCCTTGATGTAGCATTCAAAGTCTGCATAGATGACGATCGGGAATTCCTGTATTCTTTCGCAGTTTTCGAATTTTGTGGTACTGCCGGGTTTTGGATATTCGTTCCTTTGGTAGTCGTTGTTCGAGCATAGTTCCAGATGCTTTTCCAGGATTTCGTTCGACCCGAATGTGTTAAGACATCGGTCGCATATGTATTTTTTGTGCTCTTTCTTACTGATTTGTGAACCTACGAGTCTAGACATGTCCTTGACTACGCTGTAATGGTTTTTCCATAGGAAGAGTCTTATGGGGTCGGACTTTCCTGATACTCGTAAGGGGTAGACCTTGTGTTTTTCGTCGACACTGAATACGTTGACGCTGATGTTGTTTTTCTCGAATCTTTTAATACCGTCTATCGGTGTTGGAAAATCGGTTCCTTCCCAGTTCAACTCTTCGGATTGTCGTTTGAGTTCCTTTGTAATTCTTTCCGGATGGGTGTCGGTTGGGTTTAAGGCACGCGTGACAGCCCACTTGAAACATTTGTCGTCGTCGTTCTTCATGTTGATGATTGCTTTCTTGCTGGCTATGGATTTGGGTAGTGGTTCGTGTTTCTTACCCCTAAGTGGTCGGAACTCACGAATGTGGATTTCCAATTGGGTAACTCTTCGTAGTCTCCATCCGCTTCCCCCTCCTCTGATATTCCGAAAAGGACTTCAGCATCTTTTCCCTCATGATGCTTTGGGTTTCTTCCGTATCATCCGTGCCGAGAAGTTTGTGGTTCTTCGATCCGAAGTGAGCGATGGTTGACACTTCCTCCCGGTTGCGGGTCGCTCCTTACCATTTCGCAGGCTAGGGACATCCTTACGTTCCTGAGTTCCATTTCGGGGTTTATGAGTGTTTTAACCTCATCTTCCGTGATGGTTAGGAAGTAGGGTGGTTCGTAGTTACCGATTGGGGTGATGACGTACTTTTTTACCTTTTTCTTGATGGCGTGCTTGGCTAGGACGGGTTCCAGGATTTCCCTCGGCTTTTCCCAGATTTTGCTAAGCTTTTCACCCACCTTCAGTTGGAGTTTGACGAATTTTCTCTTACCCCTCCACTTACCCTCTGCGATTCTTCGGTTTTCTTCAGCTCGCCTTTCCCGAGCCCTTGCATTCCGTCGCAGGCGCTGGGTCTCCTTCTTCCACTTTTGGCCCTCGGCTTTCCAGTCCGTGACTTCCTTTCGGCGTCTTTTCTCTTCCTTAGCGATATCGTTCTTCCACTTCTTTGCATCCCTTATTTCCCTTTTCGCGTCGGCCTCGGTTTGTTTTTTTACGTTTCCGGAACTGTCTTGCTGCCGATTTAACTTCCTTTCCGACTATTATCCTCTTCTCCTTCTTGATCAGTTCGTCGAAATGGTTGTTAATTTTCCCTTCTATTTCTAGGCCCCTCTCCCTGGCCTTCTCCAGAACGTTAGTTCTCGTCCGTTCTAAGGATACGAATTTTTTGTCCGAAATTGGAGCATTTTGTCTGGTAAACTCCATTGCTTTTATTATATAGCAAAACTTATCTATAAGACGGTTTTAAAGTTGATTCTGTTTTTCAGACCTATAAGGTTTGAAAAAGCCATGGAGTTCACAAAACATCCACGGAATCGGACGTATAGGAAGGTGTCCTTTTATTATATAGGATTTCTTTTTTAAAAAGTTGATTCTGTTTTCGTCCCTAAACTTGAGGACCCCGTCAGGTCCTCACCTGGCAACTTTAATCGATCTGATCCTGCAAGACCCTTTCCATCCCAGCTTCTATTCACATCTCTTCTGCTTTTCCTGACCAGTTGTATCTGATGTCCGTGGGTTTACCTAGGTAAATTTTGTCCTCCGAACTTTTGAGACAGCATTTATATATTGTGGTCATATCGGAAATGGTTAAGAAAACGGTAATACCTTTCAAACCTCCGTAGGGGTAGTTCACACTTCAGATCTCAGCATCCTTCCCCATCCACCCATGTCCGAACTTAAATTCTATTCCTGCATAACTACACATAGCTAAGGATATGGCTGTGAAGGCAAATGTTATTTCCTTGCGGTCGGTTTGATTAACCATCCTTATGATACGATCCATTTTTTCTGGACAGTTAAAATCAAGTTGAATCCCCCCTTCCCTCGTTCTAGTGTGTCGCCTCATTGTTTATATGTAGGAAGCCTTGCCTATAGATAGTTTGTTGATTCTGTTTGTGGGACGGATGGTTACTACCTGGGGAACCTCATGCTTCTTTGGCAAGCAGAACGTTCTTCATGCCGATCCTTATGGGTGTGTCTACATCCGGACCGTTTTCTTCGAGATGCTCCATGTCCATGAACCAATTGTTGTCGTCTTCCTCCCTTTTCGCTTTTTTTTCCTCTTCCGTATAGTGTTCCCATGCAGCCTTATATTGTAGCTGCCATTCCTGAAAATCCGATAGGGCTACGCTTTCCTTGGTCCAGTCGTCTACGAATTCCGTAATTTCCCCGAGCTGTACTGTGTCTTCCGGACTTTCTAACTGACAGTTGTTTATCCCAATGTCGTATGGTAGTTCGACCAGAACGTATATACCCTTAGGGTTTTCGTAGTAGTCAGGTGCACATACGATTCCTGCGTCCCTTCCCATCCACCCTTCCCCGAACTTGATATTCTTTTCCACACTGTGGCTGAGTATGCTTACGTTTGCAAAGGCTAACGTCATGTCCTCATCGTTTGTATTTTCACACACATTCTTGATGTGACTCATTTTTTCCGGACAGTGGAAGTAAAGTTTGAACATTCCGGTTGTATCGACGGTGGTGGGTTCCGAATTTAGCACTTTCATGGTTCCTGCTGTTTTTGTGCTAATTATTACTTGTACTAGAAAATACATTCATGCAGAAACCCTCGCCTTGCTAACAAAACCGTTGTATTTTCCGAACATGAAGTATCTAAAGTAGTTGTCATGGTAACACGATAATTTTTTAAGAATATTCTTACAAATGAAAATCGCCTAAAAATATCACTTTTAATTACAAAATTATCAATTTCCCAACATATATATGTTAGGTATGTAATTATACGTAATACAAGCTTCAATTTAAGGTAAAATTTAACCACAAAGTGTTCTTTATAAAATTCAACCACAAAGTGTTCTTTATAAAACCATGGATAATAAAATAAATGGATTGGAAACTTCTGACGTCATTGACTGCATCCTTGTTGAAAAACGTGACGTCACGCGTATTGCGAATGTTACCAAAGTTCTCGGCATTTTTGTTGTTTTGCTATATTTTCCACTTTAAAAGGGTGATCTTGAAGCGTAAACTGGTCTAATTGTTTTAAAAACATGCCTAAGCCACGACAAAGTATTCAAGGTAAATGTTTTTCGTCTTTGTTTTGTATTTTTTTACATTTGTAGCTACGATATTGGCGTCACAAATTTTTGCGAAATTTGCGATGTATTTTTCACTGTTTAGTGCTTGAAATATTTGCTAAAATTGACTGGGAATACTTAGAGTTTTCATCGTAGAATGGCGTGGTTACATTTATTTGCTCTTTGACTAAAATGTTTAGTTGTATTATTGCTAAACATGCCGTTTTTGAGAATTTGGTTTTCAACTAGGTTGAGGCACCCAGCCACGCCATCAATCCCAGTAAAAACATTAGGTCACGTCAGCTAGTTTCATATCCATTTATTTTATTATCCATGATAAAACTAAACTGCCTTTAACTATTAAATGACTTTATCGATAAACTTTGAGTTTGCAATAAAATGATTTCAAATTCTCGCTTGCAAATAACTTTGCTTTATCTTTTATTTAAAAAATTCAATATAATAAAAAAGGGAATCAATATTAAAGATACACTGAAATTATATGCTGTCTTGTTTAATAGTTGTTTCATATACGCAAAGGTCGTCGGGTTTTAAAGCCATTATAAAATCAATATTTAAAATAAACTTACCTTCTTTAACGTCGGCTCCCTTCTTTTAGCTGATTCTTTCGCCATTTCTTTCTTGAAATTTACAAAATCTTGCAGAAATACGAGCAAAAATGAAGAATATTTGCAAGAAATTTATCAATCATCGACTCATCAAATCAAGAAATGTTTGCTATTTCGCTGTCGTCATGCAACCGTTATAATGCAAACTTTAAATTGGACCAATCAGTGTCCGTTATTCATGACAGTCCGCCATATTTTTGAGATCAGTGAGGATGACCACCCATCGTTGGTGACCGACGCCCGCGCTCATTGATGAACTTTAGACTTCGCTAATGCTTTCGTTTCCCCGGGTGTAAATAGCCGGGGGGAATTAGTACCCTCGCACGGCCCTTCGCGCCGCCGGCTCGGGAAAAATGTTGATTCTGAAATTTCTTCCTTTTGAGTAGAATTAAGATTACCCATGAGATTACTCGAATCTACTCATGAGATTACTCAAATTTACTCACGAGATTACTTAAAAGTAGCCGTAAGATACTTTTGACTAGATTTAATATTACTCGCAAGTTAGTTAACTTTTACTATAAATAAAAGGAACCATGTCTGAAGAAAATCCAGATACGGCAGCAGTACCCGTCACAAATGCTGTAAAGACCCGCGTCAAGGATCCCAGAAGGGTGGAGGCGGGTCGTAGGCTTGCTAAAATCAGTAAGGAAGCAAAAGCGAGAAAGAAGGCACAACGTGAAGCTATCAAAGAAGAGGAGCAAAATGTTCTGACCGAAGAACCCGAAAATGATGGGTCAATAGTCACCTTAGCAAGAGCTGGCCTGGTAGTGGGTATAGCCGTAGGGCTCGGATCCCTTTACTTCATGTGGCACTGTAGTCAGGAGAAGGACGAGAAACCCGAGGAAAATAAGATTGTACAGGAGCCGGAACCCGTTGTTATCCCACCAAGGGGTCCCGAATTGTTTGACTGAGTATAATAAAACAATGTCGAAGCTATTCTTGGACATAATGACCTTTTCCGTAGCAGCTGGAGCCGCACTGATTTACATCCACACGCTTGAGGCGAAAGAAGCCAGACGCGAGGCGACGGAAGCCGAACGCAAGGAAAATGAAGACTGGATGCTCGAAACACTGGACAGAAAATTTTCCCTAATCCTAGAAGAAAAGCTAAAGTATAAATAGTTCTGCTATAATAAAACATAATGACCGACACGAAGAAGGAAGTGATCAACGAACTGTACGATGCGGCATTACTGACAACCGGAGTCGTTGGGGTACCCTACCTTGCTAAAACGGTTGCCGGGAAAAGCCTCGGTGTACCGACGACCCTAGAAGGAGCGGCAAAGCTTGCCGTTGCCGTAGCCGGAAGCGCATTTGCCATAGCATACCTTAAGGATAAGGGATACATCCCAAAAATGATTGACAAATAAAGGATGACAACTATCGTAGTCGGAGGACTTTTAATGCTGTGGCCTTTGCCGGGGCCGGCTTCCTATTCTCCAGGTTGAATGGACAAGGCTACAAGGAAGCGGTAAAAAGACATAACCAAGCCTTAGAGAAGCTTGCAAAAGCCAAAGAGAGGTTTTACGAATCCGAAGTGAAGCGGAGGAACGACGAGGCAAGACGGAGAGCCAAGATCTTGGATGCTAACAAGGATATCGAGGAAACAAACAGGGCACTGGAAGACCTTAGGGATTATACGAGGCTTATGGATAGTACGGCATCCCAACGAAGGCCGAAGTTGGAGGACTATTATCAACAATCGGACGAAATAAAAAGATATGCAATGTTGACAGTGGGTGAACTTGGGGTTGGGGGTGCCTATGGATTAACACGAATATTTTAAATCCTACCATTTGGATTTAAAACTTTATGTTGTCATGAGGAAGCAGCTTTTGGTTGCAGCCTCACTTCTGACAGTTGCATTTCCGGCGGAATCTATGTTTTTGTATTCAAGACCATTAAGACTTACATATTCACCTTGTACTGTGAAGGAAAACGATGTGCGGACGATAGAACTTCTTTGAGTGACCGTAAACATGACCACCGTTCCTATACTCCCTTCGTAGAACCCCTACGGTGGAGACGGTGTCGAAAAATTTATCTCGAATCCACCCACCTTAAAGACCATAAATTTTGTATTCTTCTTATCATCATCCGAAATGGCTGAGGACTTATAAAGTCCGGGGAGGTAGGGTAATTCGGTAAGGTCGTACTGTACGTAATTCCTTCCAAGGCTATTCAGTCTTACAATGTTGTTTGTATGTTTGACAATCTCTGCCGTGTTCCCCTGCTGTGTCTTTTCGACTGTTGTCAACTTTTGTCCTTAGATGTTAAGGTCTTCTGCCGTCGTATCAAAGTAATCGTATCCGAATAAGATGCTCATTTTATTTAACGTCGAAATACTAGGTATGCAAGTCCAAAGGATGCTACTGCCACTGCCCCAAAAGCAATATTCTGAGTATCGGACTTCTGCCTTAATTCCGGGGGTTTAAAGTCCTCCGCAACAGGAACCGGTGTAATGTTGTGTCTTTCATCTATATTATTTGTAGGGGTAGAAACAGGATTACTCGTATAATTCACCTTCTTATTCTTTCCAAACGTCATCCCGTTTTTAGCTACCGTTAGGACATTGCTGAATCCTGGGATAGGTTTTGCTAAAATTCTCAGGTCAGAGGGGATTAGGATTAAACCCGGCATAACTGCAAAATTTAGAACGACGTGTGTATTGGCAATAGCCGTCCTCATGTTGGAAATGGTAACTGTCACATCGTCTTGTACAATCGTATCTTTTACCACCTTCCGGAAAACCTCCTGTGTCTGCAAACTCTTTGCACTCAGACCTGTGATACTCTATCGGGTTTTGGCCTGTGCTCCTAATACAGAATACACGAACGCCTCGATAGACTGCTGAAATAGTTTCTGTCCAACTTTGGTAAGTCCCCGGCATGTTCTGGGAATTAAGGTCTTATAATCATTTTCAACGTCAAAGGGTGATCTACCAGTCAGATACTCATATTCGATAAATGAACCTCCATATCTTGTCAAACGGTCCTTCTGACGTCGTATTCTTTTCAGTTCACCCACGGGTAGGCCGTAATACCATGTTCCAAGGTTTGCGTGGGAAGAGACGGTCCTCCTAACCCATGTTTCACATACAGGCATGTACTTCCTAATGGTTCGTATATCATCTCCTGTAAGGTACTGGTCCAATAGATTGGGGTTACGCATGAATCTTGATAGGTGAAAGTGGAGATGAAAGCGAACAATAGAGGTTACTTTGTTGGAGTGTGAGTTGGGAAAATTATTCGTAAGATGATCCTCGGAAATTCCGGATTTAAACATAGAAACATAGCACGCTGCTAGGGAGCAAAAGTAGGAATTGGAATGGTAATCGAAGGGTACAGTGTTGATAAAGGTTTCGGGAGGCTTACCGTATGATGGTTTAATAGGCTCCAATTTCGTCAGGAAATTCTCGGACTCCGTAACATAGACCTTAAATGTATGCACATCCATCTTGAAGTCCTTATTTGGACGGAAAATTGCATCCGGAAGAACACTTCGCCATCCCTCTACCCAGTGAAGGTACTTGGTCCACTCCGGATTTGTACGGAATGTGTTGGATGTAATGCCATAGCTTGTGAGATCATCCACCTTACAGAAGATGTCTCTGGAATCCACGGTTCCATCCTTGGCGAAGGTAACCTCAAAGTCGAACTTGAACAAGGTTGCATTGGGATATTGTTTCATGAAGTTTGTCTTCATTTTCTGGATTTCAACGGGTACTGCCGCTTTAACCTTCTCGTAATTCTTTCTGTAGTAATTTCGGAAGATTTCCTCACTCATCCTTTTATTTGATGTAAAGTTCTAGTAAGACATCTCCGGGAACAGCTCCGGTATTAGACCCGATTTCAAACCGGATTTCATTGTACTTGCCAGCATCCACCCATACTTGGCTTTCAATGTCATTGTATTCGGTTGTGGTTCCAAAGAGAGGTCTGGTTCCATTGATGGGAAGGGAAGTGATGACGGTACTCCGATTTCCATACGGTCCGATGTTATGCTCACGATTCGCCAGGTTACAGCTAACTGTGAGGTATCGCAAGCCTTCATGGGTGTCTACGGGACGATCACTTATGTGTGGGGTGTATTTAGGACCATTGGAGTATCGGTAACCCAAAATACTCGTGAGATTCCGAAGTCGTACGGAACCTGTCCCCTTAGCAAAGTCCATCCTTATCCTTCCATCGGGATATCCCTTAAATGTTAATCCGTTTTCCTCCAACTCTTCCTTAAGCTGTTTAAAGGTCCAGTACCCTTCATCTATCATAATCTTCTTCCCATCTACGGAAATGTAGTCATTGAATACCTTACGAATATTCTTATAGTTCCAAACACGGCAGCGGTCTTCACATAAAGTTCGGATCCGTGGGTAAGGATAAATGGATCCTGTAACTCCAGGGTAACTCCTCCGTCTTCAACATAGACTGTTATCTTCTTCATGTTTTATTTACAGATAATAAAATGGATTTACCATTAGATGTAGCTCTCCGGGAAATATACTTTAACGTTAACGATGGGTACATGTCGATGGAAAAATTATACCAGAGTGCAAAGGAGGAGGGTATAAAGGGAGTTAGCCGGACAAATGTTAAGGAATGGTTACAAACACAGAATACCTATATTATTCACAAACGATCCAGAAAATACTACACGACCCAAAGGACCTATGTGAATGGACATGCACAGCAAATTCAAATGGACCTTGTGGATATGAGTAAGTTCAGTCACGGGAATAAGGGAAACCGCTGGATCCTAACTGTCATAGAGGTTCTAAGCCGGTATGCTTTTGCCGTATAAAATTCGAAAGATTCCGCAAATGGGCAAAGGCCATTGCCATTTCTATCGCCGGAATCATTACTACAGTTGTGGTGGCTGGTAAAAAAACCATTGTGGGAGCCTCCAAAAGATTAGGAGCCTTAGGAAAACCACCGGCCAGACTTGCAAAATCCGCACTACCAATCCTAGTACCTATCCTAATTTTACTAAGTACTATCCTAAGCTGGGGAGCTAAAGGTCTCGCCTTCCTTGCCCAGAACCTATGGATCGTAGCAATCCTAATTGCCGAAGCCATATACAAGTACCTATAAATGAAACGAAGGAAATAAAGTTATACTATAATAAAACATAATGGACCGAACAACTGAACTTATGCCCAGCTTCCGGCGCATGTATAGGACGGAAATTACTGGGGATAGGAAAATACATGTTCTAACCTTCAATCCCAATTCTGCCAAATCCGGAGAGGAAATTTGCGTTAATATTCCAAAGCTAAAAGCAGACTCCGTTCTTGTACCGGATAGTATGGCTTTAGTTTTCGACTTTAAGAACAGCAATACAAAATCCTGGTTCAGGAACAACCTAGGAAAACTGCTCCAAAAGAGACTGGAAATCCGACTCACAGGAGAAAAGGTCTACGACAACAGCGGGGAAAGCCTACTGGAAGTCTACAAAGACCTATGGTTGCACAACAAGCTGCGCGATGATATGGTAGAGGATGGCATCGCTAGCGAAGCCAGGAGGAAGAAAATATCCAAAGACGACGACTCAAACGACGATGCAGAGGCTACCGCATTGTTCGGTGTATTCGGAACAAAACAAAAAATCCGGATCAACAAAATCCTCAAAGATCACGAACTTTATGCTCCACACAACATGGAGAACGACTTACAATACGTGATCACCCTACCTACAACAGCCGAAATCATGAACGCCCAAGGTGGGGAATCTGTGGAAGGATACACCCTAGAAAACATCGAAATAGAATACGAGTCCATCGACAACATCGATCTTGCAAGGAAAGCCGATGGTCTGTATGGATCCGAACGCAAGTTATCCTTCGAACACGCTACCCTAATGAAAAGAACGGAATGGTCCACCATTATCAACGAAACGTACCACGCAGGAGCATGAAAGCCATTGTCATGCTATTCACAAACAAGACGAAGACAGACAGTGAGGAATATATCTACCCTAATATCGAAAAGGTTAGGGTAACCATAGAAGGTGTTCCTAATGCTGTCTATAGCCAGGGTATCCCCAAAACAAGGTTATACGAGGAGGCAAGGCGACTGTTCGGTACCGATGAAATCAGTCACCAGACACTAACCGGATTCTTCAAAGACAAGAAATTCGCATTGGTTATCGACCTTAGAACCGCAAGCGACTCCAACACATATGGAAACGGTGCTAAAATCCAGAACACCCAGTCCGGAATATTAGTGGAAATCACAAAGAAAGCCACAACTGCAGACGTTGCATGGTACTTGTTCGTCCTTTCCGACGGTGTTATCAAGATCACAAACGGACAACTTGCTGGAATAAAGTACTAAATTATTCAAGAACTGCAGTTTTTCCATACTCAACAGAGTTTCAATTAAAGCCTCTGCCAGCACCACGTTTGCCTTTTCCCTCTGTGTGGTAATATATTCCCTCCATAACTTCATGATAATCTTCCCGGATGCCTTCTTCAGGTGACTTTCGAACTGTTTAATCTCTCCTGCATTAGACAGGCGAATAAGCTCTGCCCTACTGTCTTCCATTTCCGTATTCTCTGCGTTTGGTGGTTCATGTTCCATCCTCTTTATTATACTATAGGAACTTTTACTTCATGATTAAGCGGATGTACCAGATCCACTTCAAGATGAGCATACTTATTCTCCTTCAACTTTTCCTTAATAGACCTCATTTCCGCTAACGGTATATGAAACAGTAACCAGATTTGGTTCAAGTGATATCCAACATGCAGTGTCCGAAATTGAAGAGTGGTCCGAGTCAAACCTTTTCAGATTGAATGAAAACAAATGCAAAGAATTGCGGATAGACTTTGCGAAAATTAGAAATCCCTTCCTCCTATTAAAATTAATGGTAAACCTTTACAAGTGGAAGAAGCAAAATTACTGGGTCTTACTATCGCGAACAATTTGAAGTGGAATAGTCATGTCAATAACATAGTGACAAAAAGTTCCAAAAGGATTTACCTTTTAGTGCAGCTGAAACGAGCAAAAGTCGCGATTCAAGATGTTTTACAATTCTATACCGTATGTATCCGCACCATTCTGGAATACGCTTCCACTGTTTTCCACTACTCTTTACCTAAATACTTGAGTGATGAAATTAAACGAGTACAAAAACGGGTTCTTCGAATTGTATATCCGAACTTACATTACGAAGATGCATTGATGGAAGCTGGGATGGAGTCATTGTACGCTAGAAGGCAAATTGCCTGCAATAAACTTTTTAATCAAATTTTAAATAACCCGAACCATAAACTTCAGATTTAATCCCTAAAATAGATATACTTCATTAAATTACGAATTACGAAACAACAAGAAGATACATGTTCCGAAATTCTATACTGAACGTTTTAAGAATTCGTATGTCATCGCTAGTTGTTTATACATAAATAATCGTAATTCAACAAATTAGTGTTAGTTTTAATATTTATAATCTTCTTAGTAAGCCATAGCATAGGTTGTAATTTTTTAAATGTAATATAATTTGTATTCAATCTTATTTATATTGTAATCGCTTACCAATTCAGTATTTGTACTGCAAAAAGTGAATTATTAAACAATCTATCTATCTATCTAAGAAGGTATTCATCTAAAATAATCTTCATGTCCGGCCTATTCGGATTATAGAACGTCACCAGTTTCGAAATATTCTGCCTGTACGGCTTAGCAATGGAGGTCAGCTGTTGGGTAATAACAATAGTGGAAATACTCATGTGACGTGCGCTAAACCCAAGGTCGACCGACTCTCCCGTACTGTCCTTCACAGACTTAGTGCTGGCACAGTCGTCCAGAATGATGAGAGATTCCCTTCCCTTGATGAAGTCCACTACATATTTAAGGTAGTCCTCCACGTCATCCTGTCGGCATGGAATAACAAAGAAATTGTCGTCCTCGTGAATGAAATCCTGATCGTAGGTCTTATTGCAGTGATAGGTGGGACAAATCAGGAATATATTTTCAAATTGATGGAACAACGTCGTCCTTAACTCCCGGATGAGGTAACGTGTCTTCCCGCAGGCCGTCATACCTACAATAATCATGTTGAATGGCATTTTTATTTTCCGGTTAAATAAAAAATGAGTAGCGGAGAGAAAAAGGAAAAGATCGTTAGAGAGCAGAAGAAAAATAAGGAAGCAAACGTTGGTGTTAAGGTGGGTAAGGGTAGTCTAACATTTGGCGCAGATGCAAGGGTCGAATTCAACAGTTCTAGCGTAAAGAACTACAGATACATGAAGAAGGGTGAATGCTGTCCGGAGCCTAAGCCAGAACCTAGACACAAACCCAAACCCAAACCTGTCAAATATAAAGGTAAGAAATAAAATGGGATGTCTGTCCTCAAAACCTGAAACCGCAAACAGAATAAAGTACAACAAAAATCATAAAACGAGAAAAATGTTCGACCTTGGCATCGGCATCGAACGAGGAGACATCACGATGAGCGCACATACCCGTATCGGTTACGCCAGCACAATCGTAAAGAAATACGGTAAACAAAATTATGAAAGTACCACGGAAACTAGTGTGGCTGTGCCTGATCAGCCTCCTGCTAATTCCGATAACGGTTGAGGTTCTCCTTGTTATCGTTACCCTAGGACTAATACTTCAATTTTAATCATTTAATAAACATTAAAATTTATTCAATATAATCCCAATCTAATGTCTCAAATATTTTTCTACACCGGTTTTGGGGATCCTTCCCCTCTGGAATTCTAAGTAAATACCAATTGGCCTCCACACCAAACCGTATACATACCTGATAACTAATAATATTAAGATTAGGCAGTCTCTTTCCCTTAGATTCCTCTGCCTTACAAACTACAACAATCTCATTTATGATCCCAGACGATCCTCTTCCAAACAACTCATACCCCGACACACCCTTCCACAGGTTCCGGCTCTCTAGGACCAAGAGAATCCAAGTACTCCCTTTCCGCTATTCGAAAGTTCTTCGTTATTTTTCTCTTCCTCTCCATTCTCGATTCCCATCCTATAGCCGGATTCTGAAGATATTTCATAAAATCTTTTTTAGTTTTACAAATGTCGTTCAAGCCGGACAATAACTTAGTATCTATAACCTTCTTATCAAAATCCCAATTAATGGAATCTAAGTACTCTACCTGAATAAAACACTAATCCTTGTATTCCTCCCGCACTATAATTTCCCAAAATAATTCCATTTTCCGATTAAATTTTCCGATAGATATCTCGAGGGGAGTGTACAAATCTTCCTGCATCTCCTCGTAAGGCACTTCTTTGAAATCCATACCCTTTTTACTTATACAATCCCTTCTCTCTGAACCACTTACCTTCCCCATGGCCTTTCTCAATCTGCCCTCGTACGGACTCGACAGCAAATATGACACACAGAATAATCAGTACAACCCCTACGATGCTGTCGCTGTGATATAGATAATGAGAAAAGTCACC